TTCATGATGATATGCTTTCACCGACCCTGCTCTCCGTAGAGCCCCCATTCCCAAGTAGGCACTCCAGACTCTATGGCAGATTGGTCGAAGAGTGAAAGGTAGGACTCAAGAGCATCCAATCACAGTGATTAAGAGTTGACAACAAGAGTTGTTTGCACAACAGAGGGGAGCCTGCGTTCGTGGGTAAGCCTGGGTGACCTTGAAAACCCGCTGAGGCCCTCGTCCTGGCTGTCCTCACGCAGATTGTAGGTGAGGTTGTCGTGGATGTCTGAGGCAAACAAACTGGCATACTCGTGGTAGAGTACCAGCACATCTTTCAGGTCACGCACTCTAATATACTGAATGTGACAGTATGTCAATGGCTTCACATCAGCATTGGTCTTGATGACCTAGTCTGTTTCAGGACCAGCACCATCATATCTTTCAGCACCCAGAGCAGACAAAATAGAAGGCTTGCAGCACGTCATCCTTAAAGATGAGGTACTCCCAGGGACACAGAAGGAGGTTTTTATGAGGAGGGAGGCAACCCTAACTGGCCCCCATAAAAACCGGTAGCTGGAGCAGGGCTCGACAATAACGGTGGCCTGATGGCCCGGGGCCAGTAAAACGTAACATCGGGACAGTTGAACTAGCAAAAAAAGAAACAAAATGAAACTCAACATCCTGCAGTTGTTTTGCAGCTCTTGGCGCGCATCGATGTCCAATCCAGAGTTGTAGTTGCGTGACGAGAGGTTGTCAAATTTTATTTCTCTAATCTCAATCATGCGGTAACCTCTGGGTCGAAAGTAAATCCATGCAGATGGAACTTAAAGCTGTATTCTCTCTAATGGCCAGCAGGGGGCGACTTCCATTAGATATAATGGTAAAATGTTGCTACTTCTCAGCTGATTCATTATCTCAGTAAACAGTTTTAAATGATTTTATAGTCTCAGTCGCTAGTTTCAAGTCTTCTTCAACACATCATGATGTTCATTTAGTATATTATGGTCCTATTTAACGCAAAATAGACGATAATGCAGCGTATGCTTTTGGACGGGAATACCTTGTTATTGACAGGTCGGTACCATGGCAACCTGTTCATCAGGATAGGATGAAGGTCTGGCGACTGGTTGTTGGAGGGGTGGGGGACCAGGAAGAAGGGGTTGACGGGGTGGGTTGGGGGTGCGGGCTGGTCCTTTTTGAGCTGGTTGCGGGGTGTCTCCTCTGGATTTTAGTGCCCGGACTGGATGCTTGTGGTTGTGCGGGGATCCTGTGTGGGGAGGGATTGTGCTTTGGGGTGTGTCGATGGTTGCTTTGCGGTCGCGTCGCGGCCCTCTGGATTGTGGTCGTGTTGAGTCCTAGGGGCTGGGTGCATCTGCTGACTCCCTAGGGCTGAGGGGCTGTTGCTGCTGTCGCGGAGTGAATGCTGTCTTTTTCTTTGGGGACGGTGGGGGTGTGTGTGTGGGATGCTTCGCTGCTAGGGAGGGAAGAGCGCGGGGGTGGGTGTCTTCTGGCCTGACCTGGCCTGAGTGACATTGCGTCCTGGGTATGGGTGGACCTTTGGGTCTGGGCCGTTGGGCCATTCTATCCTTGGGCGGGGTCCAGCTGGTTGTGCCAGCTCTGATGGCCTGGTGGTGCTTGGAGTGCTCCTGATTGTGTGGGAGCGGTGAGGTGGGGGGATGGCAGTGGGGCTGCCGGAGGGATTGTTGGACTTTGGGTTGGGGCTGCACTGACCTGCCTCAGGGGTGTGTGGGGGTCTGGGGTGGGACCTGCCCTGGGGCTGGGCGGGGTTGTCGCTGACTCTGGGGTGCTACCGGTGCTAGAGGGGCTCTTGCTATCAGGAATCTGGTCCCAGTGAGAAGGACCATTCTAGCCTCCCTATGACCTCCTTCACCTTTCCCCCTTTGGTCATGTCTCACAACATACACCCTTAGGGCTCTGGGGGCGGGCAGGCTGCAGGGCGTTTGGTGGGTGGGGCTGCTTTATTGCGGCCTCGCTCTTCTTCCTCCCCCACTGGCCACCCCTCAATTTTAATTACACATTAGACACAAGTTGTGGGGTGCCTGTGTTACAACTACCCTCCAATTTTAACTGCACCTTAGTTACCACACACCTTATCTTTACTCCACCATACAACACTTCACAATCCATGACATGCATCCAACACAAAACAATCCCACGTGCTCCTCCTTGGGGGTGCTTGACTGGGGGGGCTGGGCCCCCGTCCAGGGATGAGATCGGCCTCGGGGGCAGCTGGCACTGCCTGCACGCGGAGGGATGCCTCTGGCTGGGCTGGGGGACCATTGGCCTGGTTCTCCCGCGTTATCGCTCCCTTGCGGCAGGGAGCTTTCCGGCAAGGCTTTCTGCTGTTCTTCCTTGGGGCGGGGTACAGCTTCCCCCGGGACATGCAGTCTGGGGTCCTTTGCGCTTTGGTGGGTCGCGGGGTGCCCTGGCTTCTGGGGATGGGGGTCTCTGCTCGGGTTGATCCGGTTGCGGTTTGGAGGGCTGCAGTGGGATTGTGGGGCGATTGTCGATGCAGGGTTTCTGAATGGCTGCTGGGCGTTTAGTTTGTGCATTGGAGTCTGGGGGAGGCATTTCCTCGTTAGCTTGGAGGGACCAGTTTGCATCCCTGTTTTGCTTCGCTGGCCTCGGATCCATGCTTCCCCATTTCTCTGTCAGTTGTTTGACCACTCTGGATACTGAGGCATATAGTTAGTTTTCGGGATGTGCAGTGTGGGTGTGGGGCAGGGCTGTGCTCCGATTTGTTCTGGGCTTGTGCCTGGAGTTCTCGGCCCTTGACGGGTGGGTGGGTTGTTGGTGGCGTGCAGCTGAGCTGGTTGATTTTGCCTCGTTGCTGGTGTTGCATGGTGGCCAGGGGGCGTGCTGGGCATGGGGGATATTGGCTGGCGCCAGCGGCCTTAGTTTTTTCTGGCGGTTGGGGGGACGGCGGACTTTTATTTGCAGGTGCACGGTGACCGGTGCGGCGCTTTGCTGCCGGGCTGTGACTTGCTGCTGGTGTTTCTCTCCGCTGGCTTTCGCTGTCGTGTTATTCCGCTTGCTCTCTCTCATTTGCCTGACCTCGTACGCGGGATTCGCGGGGGGCTTCTGGGCATTGGGTGTTGCTATGCTCGTGCAGTGTGCGCGTTGGGCTCGTCACTTGTGCATTGGTGTTGATGATTGTGTGGCATTTGGGCGTTTTGGTTGTTCGCTGCGCGGCGGTGGTGGGGAGCACTAGTCTATGTTGTGTGCACGCCGCGGTCGGCCCGGGCGCTGCTCTTCCGTGGGTTACGCTTCTTGCGTTCCATCGCCATTACGGTGTCAACTGGCATTTGGGTCAGGGTCTTCCGCGTTTGCATCGCGGTGCATCTGGGAGTCTGTTTTTTTGATTTTATTTATTTATTTATTTATTTCTCCCACCCCTATTGGCTACTGGGGTTCTTGCCTACCTGTTGCTGGGGTAGGTGTGGCACAGTCATGGTGTCCCACTCTCACTATCAACTACATTCTTTAACAGGCTTATGCACACACACATACAGACACATTCACACACATGCACACAGATACACACAGTCTTACACATAGACACAAACAAATTTAGGTTGTCCCTGGTAGAATTATTCCTGATGCTTTTCTTTCAGTTACTCATTTAAATTAATTGTTATTATTCCAGCTCTCGTTGCTGTGCTGTGTTGCTTATTTAGTGTGCTGGACTGTTTCTTGTTTTCATTTTTCTCTTAGTTGTCATACTATGTCAGCTGTTTATTGCTGCTGTTTGGCTGGTTGTCTTTTACTATTATTATTATTTTTATTGTTTGTTGTTGTTTTTCTCTTCCCCAAGCCCACCTCTCTGTTCTATTGCAGGTTTCGTTGCTTTCTGCAATTGGTGTTTCCCTCTGCTATTCCCTGTTATCCTGTTGTCCTTTCTCTGTGCTGTCTGTGTGTGCCCCCCCATCCCCGTGTCTGCCCCCCTGTCCGGCCCGGTGACAAATCAATACATAATTAAATAAATAATAAAACAGACAAAGGAGTATATTGATTCTCTTGTTAAAGTAAAATCTGTCTGACACAATATGGTATCCAGGTCATCATACTCTATACCAGGCTGCTTGGCAGTTATTCACTGTTATCTGTTATTGAGCTATGTTTACAACATCAGAGGTGTCAATGGCATCTTTTGTTTCTATGTTGGTATGGTCTTAGCCAATCCCTTGCTGACTTAATCCCAAATGGAAAGTTTCTTACTGTGTTAAACTGGATTGTGCTCTTATTACGAGACAACTGTGTTTTGAAATTTGTATTTTTACCACTCACTGTTACCCAATTTAGCAGGATTTAAGGGGGTATCTGCTGTTGGAGAGTTGTGGGCTTGGTTCCCTCATATTCTCTACATTCTGCCACTACCTGCGATCTTGCACAAACAATTGAGATTGTTGTCACAGTTGTCAGAGCTGAACACACAATTTACATGTATGGAAGAGGAAGACTGTCTAGAGAAACTGTTCTTGTCGGTGAAGGTGTATCCATACAAATAGTAAAGCTATTGCTGGTCACCAAGACCACAAGAAGGTAAATTAGAATGCATAAATAAACTCTTGATTCAAACTTTACAGCCCAGGGTCGTCTGGCTGGGAGGTGACAGTGCTAAACACTGAACCAACATGACAGCTTCATTCTGAAGTTTCATCTTCATGAAAATCAACACAACAATAAATTAAACGAGCTCCAGTTCTTAAGTCTGTGTGATAAATCCTTTTTAGTGACTAAGAGCACAAACAAAATGTTATTTGTAAAAAGCAACAAGTGACAGAAAACTGTGCTCATTTCTCTGTGTCAGAGCTGTTTTAGTGAGGAAAGCTGAAAGGACAGAGACTGACTGAAAAATGCTCTTCTGCTCTAAACATCAACTCTGTACTTTTTGGTGTTTCAGGAGGAAGACTGCCTCTGTTATACTCTCAAATTAGTTTCACATTTTCTCCATCAGCTTTGTCTGATACCCTGGAAAGAAGACAAGAAGAAAAGACTCTGATCATGTTTGTTTATTCATCATAAACCTTCAGTGTGTTCACACATCCATCAGTAAAGTCTGTTAAATGACTCTTGTTCAATCATTTCTGTGTTCTGTATGTTTGACCAGAATCTATGTTAAAGATGATAATGAATGACCTCCATATTGATGAAGATAATTACAGTGAGTATTTGAGTCTACAGAACAGGGCTGTGGCTCCAGGACCAAACGGCCAAAGTCCAGCATAGAGAGGCTGAGTGAATGTGGTCTGGACTCTGTGGATGAGAGTCATGGTTTCAGAGACGCTGTAGAAGGACAGAATACCTGCACTGTGATCCAGGTACACTCCTACTCTGGAGGACTGAAGACCTGAGACGGGAGTTAGGACCTTGTTATGTCTAAATTCATACTTGTGTTGGTCACAATATAACGCCCAAGATTTGTCATTCCATCCAAATCTACATTTATTAATTCCCCCTGTTCTGCTGATATTCTTGTACGCGACTGCAACATACATTCCACTGGCATCCCACTCCACCTCCCAGTAACAACGTCCGGTGAGACTCTCTCTACTCAGGACCTGAGAACATTCAGTGAATCTGTCTGGGTGATTAGACAAAAACAACTGTGTTCCGCTTGTTGTCCTTACTTTTCTGTTCTCAAATAAAAGCAGACTTCTGTGTGCTGTGTTTGGATCCAGTGTGATTTCACGTGAATATTTTAAAAATCCAGCCCTGGTCTTGGGCTCTGGTCGTGGCTTTGACAGTAAAACATCCACTTCAGTCACAGTCAGTGAGATGTCACTCAGAGCGTCCTGTAGTTTGTCTCTGACTTCTGACACAGCCGCTGTCACATCCTCAAAGTAGCGCAGAGGACGTTTCTTGATGCTGGATGAGTCTGTAGATTCACTGAGTGCTGACACTGAGGGGTAGTTGTGTAGAAACTGGTTGTGATCCTCTGTGTGTGAGAGCTGCTTCAGCTCAGCGTCTTTCCTCTTCAGCTCAGTGATCTCCTGCTCCAGCTTCTCCTGAAGCTCTTTGACTCGACTCACTTCAGTTTCCTGCTGGGATCTGACCTGCTGCTTCACATCAGAGCGTCTTTTCTCCATGAGACGGATCAGCTCGGTGAAGATCTTCTCACTGTCCTCCACTGCTTCATCAGCAGAGTGATTGATAGCCTCCACCTCCTGCTGAAGCACCTTCACATCTTTCTCTCTGTCCTGGATTCTCTGCTGGATGTTTTGTCGACTCACCTCGAGCTCTCTCTGCCTCTCGGTCCTTTCTGCTGCAGCTGAGAACATCTTCATCATCTCATCATGACGAGAGCAGATGTTCTCCTGGAGCTTCTTGAGGGGCTCCACCAGCTTGTGTTTCTCAAAGGCAGGAGATTCAAAGTGAGGCTGGAGGTGTTTCTCACAGTAAGAGACCAGACAGACCAGACAGGACTTGAGGGCTTTCAGTTTTCTCCCAGTGCAGACATCACAGGCCACATCTTCAGGTCCAGCATAGCAGTGATCAGCAGGAGCAGCTTGGAGTCCAGTCTTCTTCAGTTCCTCCACTAAAACTGCTAACATGGTGTTTTTCACCAGGACAGGCCTCGGTGTGAAGGTCTGCCTACACTGAGGACAGCTGTGGATTTTCTTCTCCTCCTCTTCATCCCAGTGGGTTTTAATACAGTTCATGCAGTAGCTGTGTCCACAGGGAATAGTCACCGGATCATTCAGTACATCCAGACAGATGGAACAAGTAATTGCTTCCAGGCCCAGCTTCATTCTTTTCTCTGCCATCTCACCTCTCAGTGGCAACGACTGTCTGAGTTTCACTTTCTTAGAACTCAGACTCTTTTGAGCTCTGATCCAAACAGCATGTGTTTCTGCAGTGAATGGGGTCTGTCAGCTCCTGCACTTCACCACATGATGGTTACACCATCCTCAAACTGTAGATCTGAAGGGGAGGGAACAAGGAAATATAAGTTATGGACAGAGTGGAGCTTGTTGTGTTGGATAGTTTTAACGTCTTTAAAAATGGGGAGAAATAATCATGGGAGCACGAGACAATCACCTCAGCAAGAAATTTTGTCTAACACATATATAGAAATACAACAATTTACAAATAACTGATATCTACAGGATAAATGGAAAAGTACAGGATAAACACCCATTAAAGTTACAGTAACATTCACAATATTTAGCTGAAATTACTCACTTTCTCTCATTTTACTATCAAGAACACATTTACACAACATTTAAGTACAAATTTATGATACTTTAACTTTACTTAAGCATTTTATGCAACTTTATACTTTATACACCACTACATTTGACAGTTTTAGTTAGTAGTTTTTTCAAACTAGCTCTACCTAAAAAAAATCTACGGTAGTAAAATGCAACATACACAATGCAATAATTAATCCAGAAACACTATTTTACTGCACAATGAGTAGGGATGGGTATTGTTGGTCAGGGTTGGCCGAACTTTCATATCATCTAATCATGGCTACTTGAGATCCCTGATTGCCAATCTAATCGGCAGTTGGCGGTGTTACTGTGAAGCATACCAGTGAAATGCCAGCATGGAAGAAACAGGCTTATTGGCTTTAAGAGAAACCACCAGAAACATCTGCAAATGCACAGAACAATGTTTCCCACAGAATTACCGTCTAACTGTGGCGCCGCGTGCAGGTGGGGGGTGCAATCAATATTGACTAGCAGCTATGTACAGTGTGCTAACCTCGACACCACAGCAGCTACCTATAGTGGACCAGAACAGCTCAGACTAAAGGTATCTGCGACCCTTTCTAATGCGAAGGCTCCCCCTTCCAACTGCACCATCCAAGAAAGGAAGGCTGTGACATCCCTGAGCAAGGACCAAAACATCACTATCCTACCTGCTGACAAAGGAAGATGCACGGTAGTCCTTTACCAGAACAAGGTCAACACACTACTAATGGACACAAACACATATGAGACACTGAGGTGAGATCCAACCAGCAGATACAAGAAAAAGGCCATAGAATGTCTACAACAGCTATAGAAAGACAGCACCATCTCCCGTGAACAATATTACTGTATCCTGGAGAAGCCATTCCATGCATATATGGACTACCCAAGATACACAAAGAAGGAGCCCTACTCAGGCCAATTATCAGCAGCATCAACTCGGTCACCTACAACATTGCCAAACATATTTCTACCATCTTAGCTCCCTTGGTGGGTAGCACGCCACACCACATCCAAAACTCCATTGACTTTGTCAACAAGGTTCAAGGACTGAAACTGGACCCAGATGAAACCATGGTATCCTATGACGTGACTTCTTTGTTCACCTGCATCCCCACCATAGAGGCAGTAGAAACCGTTAGGAAACGGCTAACACAAGACCACACCGTGGACAACAGAACCAGACTCAGCCCTGACCAAATCTGTAAATTACTCGACCTCTGTCTAAACACCACCTACTTCCAGTACAACGGTGGATTCTACAGACAGAAGCATGGCTGTGCCATGGGCTCACCGGTATCCCCGATTGTGGCAAACATCTACATGGAAGAAGTGGAGAATAAAGCCCTCAACTCCTTCAGAGGAACAGCACCGAGCCACTGGTACAGATATGTGGACGACACCTGGGTCAAAATTAAAAGCCAGGAAGTGCAAGCCTTCACAGAACACATCAACTCTGTGGACAGTAACATCAGGTTCACACGAGAAGATGTTCACAACAACAGTTTGGCCTTCCTGGACTGCGCTGTACACATTGAAGAGGACAGGAGTCTGCAGATTGGTGTTTACAGAAAACCCACACACACAGACCAATACCTACTCTTCGATTCACACCACTCACTGGAGCACAAGCTAGGGCTCATGAGAACACTGCACCACAGAGCGGAAAACATACCAACAAGCGCCCAAGCCAGAGAGAAGGAACAGAACCACCTGAAGGGGGCACTTACAGCCTGTGGATACCCTAAATGGACCTTTGTGAAAACAGCCACAAGATCCAGGAAGACCAACACTACAGGGGAGGAGGAAAAGAAGGTCAAACGCAACAACATTGTGATTCCATACGTGTCTGGAGTATCAGAGAAACTCAGGAGGATTTTCAACAAACATAATGCTGTGTTTTTTAAACCCAAGAACACGAAGACAGAAACTGGTACACCCCAAAAGACCGCACACAAACACAAGAAAAGCAATCTAGTGTATGCGGTATGCGGTCTAATGCAGTGAGGAATGCACAGGCCTGTATATTGGGCAAACTACACAAATGCATGGCTCAACACAGAAGGGCCAACTCCTCAGGTCAAGACTCTGCAGTCTACTTACATCTGAAGGACAGAGGACACTCGTTTGAGGACCACCAGGTGCACATTTTAGACAGAGAAGATGGATGGTTTGAAAGAGGTGTCAAGGAAGCATCTACACCAGGGTTGAGAAGCCGTCATTGAACAGGGGAGGGGGTCTACGCCACCACTTATCCCCCACTTACAATGCTGTCCTTTCATTACTTCCCAGGAAACTCAACAAACGTAACCCATTGGCCTCAGGTGAAGATACCAACGATGGTCGTTCAGTCTTGGCCTCCAGTAGTCCCAATGACTGTAACGACTGTCGTTACAGCAACCAGGAACACTAACGAACCAGCGGTATCGACGATCCTGGAAAACAACCCCACTGAGGTTAAATAGCTGAGTTTCCCTGCCAGTCAGTCAGAACTGAAGAAGTCCTTTGGATGAGGGACGAAACATCTTCCAGTATCTTCAACCAAGTCCAGCTGCCCTTGACTTTAACCTTCTTTGGGTAACTATGACCTGGATGACTGAGAATCTTTACAGACAACTTGACAACACAGCTGAATTTAACGTTAACATAGCTATCCTTTTAAGGGCAATTTATACTTCTGCATCAAATCGACAACGTAGGCTACGCAGAGGCTACGCCGTCGATTTGACGCAGAAGTATAAATGCCTGACGTGCACCTCAAAAATGTAACTACACGTCGAGTCGACGCGGACAGTAAGCTCTGTGACTGGTCAGCTGGGTAGCCTCACAATGCCTCCGAGCCGACCGGTAACATTTACTAGCGGCCAAAATAACGGCTGTAACACAGTGAATCAATATATTTGACCGTCGCAACCTGAGCGAAATGACTCGTTTCACTATCAGAATGTGATCCATTCGGTCGATAACATTTGAAAAGGCTACACCAGCCGCACGTTTACAATTTTACCCCCCATTTACATTAGCGGAGCGCTAAACCGGAAGTTAGCCTGTTCGGCCGGCAAAAGTTAACACAGTGGACGCTGTAGCACTACTGCCGACTAGCGTTTGGGGGTGTAATTGCAGAATGACGGACACACCTACACACAAGTATAAATGCATGGCTACGTGCGTAGCCTATAGCTAAGGTACGCAGGTAGACCCTATGCAGGAGTATAAATGGGCCTTTAGCTAGGCTCCTTACATGCCTGCGTATAACTTCTTTGAAGGTGGGTCTCCGACATTGACAGCGCTGTGTTAAGAAAATAGATAGATAGACTGACTTCTCACAGCTCACTTGAATGCTTTAGTTTTTCATTAAACAGACGGCTCCTTTTCCATTTGTGTTTGCTCCGCAATTAATGATTTTACTCCTATTCTATTAATAGTACATGTGGAGGTCAGCGTTGATACTGAGGCATGTCGCCACAAATAAATCACTGAATGGGAAACACTGCAGTGTGGTGCAGATTCTAGAAACTTTTTATGTCATCTTAGTTTTGACAGTGAGCAGGGCTGGGCGGTATATCGGTATATAATGTATACCAATATAATTTTCAAAAGAGTGTTTCCCATATGTTCACTTTACTTCGGCGGGCCGCTCAGGTTAGGCGACACACTGTAGCATTTATCAGAGAAAGACGGTGATTACGTTACAAGTCGCGACACTGTGGATAAGAGCGGACCAGGTAAAGCGACAGTGAACACACCAGTCAGATGTTATTCGTTAGCTACCACATTGGTTTTGTTTTGAAAGGCTACATCATCAACACGCCTCCTCAACATGCAGCTCAGCTGCTGCTGTGAACGGAATCACCGGACGAAAAGTCCAGAAGACAAGTTCTGTTTTTTTTCTGTGACTTTATACAGCCTAGCCTACCACTGATGGAGAAAGTCACCGAAGCGGATATACAGGGAGAGACTGACGGCAAAGCCCATTTTCCACTGCACGGTACCAGCTCGACTCGCCTCAACTCTACTCGCCTTCTTTTGGTTTTCCATTGTGTAAAAGTTGTACCTGCTACCAAGTACTTTTTCCGTATCACCTCCGTCTTATCTGTCTTTCCATTCTGACTAATGTTGAAACATTTTAACTTAAATCAAGAGAAAGCCACACCACTTTGAGCTGTAACCGATTAAATCAGCCACACACCTTTAAAAGTGACATTTGAATTTTTTTAAAGGAATTTAAAAATCTCTCTCTCTCTCTCTCTCTCTCTCTCTCTCTCTCTCTCTCTCTCTCTCTCTCTCTCTCTCTCTCTCTCTCTCTCTCTCTCTCTCTCTCTCTCTCTCTCTCTCTCTCTCTCTCTCTCTCTCTCTCTCTCTCTCTCTCTCTCTCTCTCTCTCTCTCTCTCTCTCTCTCTCTCTCTCTCTCTCTCTCTCTCTCTCTCTCTCTCTCTCTCTCTCTCTCTCTCTCTCTCTCTCTCTCTCTCTCTCTCTCTCTCTCTCTCTCTCTCTCTCTCTCTCTCTCTCTCTCTCTCTCTCTCTCTCTCTCTCTCTCTCTCTCTCTCTCTCTCTCTCTCTCTCGGCTAGTAGTCCTTAACTAGGTACTGCACATGTCCAACAAAGATCTTGTAGAGGCAAGATCAGTGTTTCCCATACGCTCATTTATCTGTGGTGGCCCGCCACATATTGATTTTAGATTTTTTTTACTAGTCCTATTTAAAATTGCATTTGATTGCAGAGCGCTGTAGCACATTACTGCAGTACATCCTCTTGTTCGTCCCTCTCTCTCTCTCTCATGAACACAGCTGCACAAATCTGTCCAACACAAAGCTGTCAATGTCAAAGACCCAGATTAAAAAAAAGGTACTAGCAAGCATGTAAGGAGCCTAGCTAATAAGGAGAGCTAAGTTAATGTTAGAATACAGCTGGGTATAACTGTATATAACTGGTTAATATAGACTGCACGCCTCCCCTGCGCCACAGTTAAATTCTGTGGGAAACACTGAAGATGCATCACTCCCTAGATAAAGCATTCAACATGCAGGGTGAAAAGAAGAGCTGCAGTAATGTGCAGTATGACGAAAAATATGTGTTTTTTGAAAATATAACCATGTAAACCTGTTCTGGTACAACCCCTAGATAAGATTTTGAACCTGAAAATGAGCATAATACCACCTCTTTAACAAATCTGAGGCAGAACATTCAAAACTGTTATGATGAAAGAGCAGTCTATGTGAAAGACATTGAGTAAAATTAAGTTAAATCTTTTTTTTCCAGTCCTTTACTCAACAAAATTAATATCTTAATAGAAAAAGTGCTAATTCGTTTGTGATTCAAATTTTAAAATTAAATTATTATATTAAGCAATAATTATCATTTTTGTTTTATTGCCCGGCCTTAGTTGGAGGTTGTAAATATCCAAATTCTGAGCGATCTGGAACGCAGCATTAGCTAACGAGCATACCCAGCAAGCAATAGCCATCATTTCACCATCTAGGTTTACTATAGACCTGATTTAGTCCAGTTATGAGTAGCCCACTTCTAGCCACAATAACTGTACATTTGGTTACATGGTGTTTTTGCAAAAATCACTTGCACGGTGTGTGATATCCAATAATGTAAGCAAAGTCAACAGAGATTACAAGTTGTTTTGTTTCATTTCTTTCACATGTTTTACGTGCAGCCTGTGCGTCGCCACGATTTAGCTCATCGACAGACCGGCTATTTGTAGCCCACTTTTAGTCAAAAAAAGTCAAAAATGATTAATAGTGTTTTTTTGCCCAGGCAGCACGTGAGATGGTTGATAGCCCATTATTTTTGCAATGTCAATAATATCTACAAGATATTAACTGTCATTAAATTGACTATTTATATTATATAATAATTATTTTTATTTATTATTGACATGGTCTATCTGTAGCCACGATTTAGCTCTTATTTGGTCAGGCTACGTGTAGTCTGCTTTTAGCCCACAGTGGCAATCAGTGGTCTAAAATCAACTTGGCTTGGCTGCAGCCCTGTTTCAGACCAAATAGGTTACATGTAGTTTTCACCCGATGCAGCTGTTGAGGTGCGTGACATCATATCATCAAATGCAAGTAAACGTTTGACACATTTAAATTATATTTATTTTCGCTGTAACGTTCACTACATTAACTTTCATTTTAATTTAAAACAAGATGCAATTACTATTTTCAACCGCTAGGCGGCAGCTGTAGCCCTACTGACACATGACTACTGGCAGCGCGAGACTTGAAAGTTAGTATACATCAAATTTGCCAGATCTCAAGATAAACACATCCGCCATTTTTAAACGAGGGATACGTTACAATTTCGGCCTTTTAGCGAGCAACGGGCGACAGTTTAAGAACACTGGAAGCAAAAAGACATTTACTTTGGTCTTGTAAATATCTGTGTCTTTGTTTGACATGTCTTCATTATTTATCTAAATCATTTGTTAACGTGTAGGAACTGGGACATTTCAGCAGGTAACGGTGTAGAGTAAGGCATGTTGTGGTTAGCTTAACATGCTGCATGCAAGTGTAACTTAACGTTAACCTTACTGTAACTCCATGATACCCAGGGGTTTCCTCGTGCCCTTAAAAACTGTTGAATTCAAAGGGGGTGAACATGAAACATGTGCAACCTTACCTATTATAATTTGTTATGAAAGCCACACATATTTTACTCACTAGATCATTATGATATGAAAATATGAGTTTTTGACTTTTGACAGTAAATATTTATTGCAAATTATCCAGCATGCAGTCAGCAAAGCACAACAATAAATATTCAGAACAGAACACTTACATTCACAGCACATAGCTCTCACAGCTTTCCCAATTGTCTATTTGGTTGTTGTAATGCAACATGATGGCTAAAACATGTACCCTGTTCAAGCATCTTTATATTTTCCATAGAGATAAATGGATCAGTAACGTTAAGGGCTATTAAATTAAAAAGTAATTAGATTCATACTGTATGTTTTCATTTAAAATCATTTGTTGATAGTAGTCATGTCTTATGGGAAAACAGTGAACATAGTCAATTATAATGTTTACTTATATTCATATTCTTACGTATTCAACAGTTATGGATCCCATTTACCCGAGAGACTGGCGCCACCTGAGAGACCCAACTGATGCTCTTGCTGCATCAGCTTAGATGAAGATGTAGATTTGGATGTAGCAACCCATTTATTTTCTCATTATTTATGTTTTTATGACTGCATGTTGTTAAAATTGTTTGTATCAATAAGTCCTTTGTATTTCATCATGTTGTATTATCTTAAGTTGTCTATGTTGTAATCCTTTTTCTTAATAAAATCTTTATATTTATTTTGTTTGGACGGATTACCATTTATGAGAACCTGTCATGTTTGAGTAAAAACAAACCTTTAACCACTATTCTGTTGTCTATTAGAGGTAGATAGGTAGTCATTCAAAAGCTGTGTATTTGGTCTATTCTTGGTCTGTGCATAGACGTCTACCCAACTTTCACTGACAGCCCAAATTCGGCCCTGTTTTAGCCTAACGTTAGAAGTCTGAGCTCTGTTTAGACTGTTTCTATTTGTAAGTGTTTCATGGGGTTGGTAACTTACCTTCTTTACACGCAGCAATGTTTAAATATAACGCATTAAGCCGTATTTTCATTTAATGTAGTAAAGTTAGCCCACACTGACAACCGTGGCTGGAGAGCACGGAGTGTAAACACGCAACGTCAAACGTAGTCGCCTGACGCAGCATCGTCATCATCAGGGGACGGTTAGAAATTTGGAATGTGAGCGAGTACTCCTGTATTCAAAACCTTTATGTTAACTAAGTAAAAGTATTCAAGTATTATCAGCAAAATGTACAAAGTATCAAAAGTAAAAGTATTGTTATGGAAGGTTATACTGGTTCTAAATTGGTTGGATACATGGTTACATAAATACAGATAGCAGCACCGTTTGTCCAGGAACTTATCAATATCCAGCCAATTTAGAACCAATATACCCTTCCATAACAATACTTACTTATGATACTTTGGTATATTTTGCTGATAATACTTGCATACTTTTACTTAATTAACATAAAGGTTTTGGATGCAGGGCTTTTTTCCCCTCGCGGGTACTCACACACATTTATCAGTTTCTACTCTCCGTATAACTGAACTCTAACTCACTATAAATATAACAATAACATTGTTTTTACACTCTTGGGATGTTAGCGAGTTATTACAGCCCCGTTAACTCTGTGTAAAATCCACAACTTACCTGAAAATGTGGAGAAAAATCAGGAGAGTGATGAGACGATGTTAGCCGCGGTCCCTCCAGCTGTGTTGGTGGAGACAGAAGCAATCGATCTCAGAGCTCTTCTTCTTCTTCTTCTTCTTCTTCTTCTTCTTCTTCTTAGTTAATGGCGGATTGCAAACAACTTTTAAGTGCATACCGCCACCTACTGTACTGGAGTGTGTAACATCATATCACTCAGCTATCAACCTCAATAAGGTGCTCTCATATTCTGTTCACCCACCCAGTGTCTTTAAGAAATTTAAATAATGCCTTCCTGGTGATTCTTATACCATTTTCTTCTCCTTCTGTTCCCAAAACCCCCATCAGATTCCATCCCCGCCCTGCTTCCCGAACCCTATCTTGAAATATCTGTCTTTCCAACTCAAACAATATGCAGTGCAAAATTATATGTTCAACATTTTTCTTTAACCCCACACTTTCCACACTTTTCACTCTTCCTTTTCTCCAATAAAACCAAGGTGCCATTCAGTCCTGTGTGATCTACTCTCAGTCTTGTCATAATAATTTCCTCCCGCCTGCTCCTTTCGCTATAATTTTTATTACTGACAGACTTTTGTATTTTAAAGTAACTCCTTCCTTTCCTGTCTTCCTCCCACCATTTCTGCCATTTTTCAGTACCTTTCTTCTTAATGGCTGTTTTTCCTTCTCCTTTTCCTAGAGGTATTTGAACTGTTATTTCCTTTTGTAATGCCTCTTTTGCTAGTTTGTCTGCAATCTCATTTCCATTTACTCCCTCATGAGCTGGCACCCAGCAAAACTGAATATCTATCCCTCCCCAATGTAATCTTAATAAGCTGTGAAACATTTCTATCAGCAGGTCTTCTCTGACAGATGCCATTGACTGAATGCTTTTAATAACTGCTAAGGAGTCTGTACATAATATCACCCTATCAGGTCTGACCTCTTCAACCCACTGTAATGCTATAATGACCGCCACTATTTCTGCTGTATAGCCTATCTGATAATCGTTTTGAGATATTTATTTTGAATTCTGGTATATGTATTCCAGATCTCAGATCTCAGGCCATCATATTCAGACCAACTTGATGCAGTTCAGTGAACACAAATAGGTACAAGGTCGTAAATGGGATGGTGAAGCAGGCAAGAGTCAAAACCAGAGATGACAGTCCAAACAGGCAAACAAATCCAAAAGGAGCAGGTACAAATCAAAATAAACCAATAAACAAGCCCAAAACAAGTGACAGGTCCCAGGTTCACCTTACCACAGCTATGTGCACCACATTCTGATACAGTCTGCTTCCTTTTCTTTAATCTACATGGTGTTAGATACGCTCTGTTTATCACTATCCACTAAATCATACATTTGACACAGTTCTACACCTGTATTATAGATTTCTGGATATCTTCCCACTTAGCTGTGAAAGGGATCTCTGCCATGTTATTCTCCCTGTATAGCAGCTGTAAGATGGACGCATACAGGCTGAAGAACACCATTCACACCAGAATCCAGAGTAATTTATTCTCTACAACAGAGTAACATGGGACACAGTCAGTACAGTGTACAGTGTACTCACTATTGTTGTATCTGAGTTCTGTAATACATATTATAAACTGTATGTAGTATTTACATGTATTCACACAGTTATTAAACTCACAATTATATTTACTTATACAGGAGATCATTCATTGCATGCACTGTTTGACATCAAGTAAACTGCACCCTTGGAATGCCAAAAATGGTTGAAAATGGTTTCCCAAAATCTCTCTAATATTTGTTTCAACATATTTCTTCCTGGTTTCAACACATTTTGCAATGTGTTACTTTTGAAGGGTTAAGGTATTTTAATTAAACAGATTTTATTGCAAAACGTCATTATCATGAATAGAGCTTTAGTTGAACAAAAAAGTCATGCCAGTGGAAATAAAATCTTCAAGATGACATTTCATTCTCAAACCTCTGATTTCAGCTTCAGTTGGTCCTGATGAGAGTGAACAGCCACAAGATGGCAGTGTGTTCCCATTATTTTGCCAATGGTGTAACATTATTTAGGACAACAAGGCTACCACTATTAAAATTACCAAGTGCACTGCTGGCTCTCTTGATATTCAGCTTCTATTATACTCATTGTAAAGGAATAGAAAGTCACTTTTCAGTTTTCAAGAAACATTTTCAGTAAAACAATAAAATTCTCAAATCCCATACTGACATAAAAAAAAGTACCCACATATTTACAGAGACATGTTTTAAAGCTGCAATAACTTATTTTTTATTTATTTCTTGCTATTTGGGGGCAAGTTGTGGACACCATCATTGAAATATCACTTTGGATATGGTGAACTTGTTAGCAAATCATTTGCTAATTTACACATCCATGGACAACATGGAGCAACACGCAAGTCCGATAATCTCTCTCTTGTAGCTCTGTTTTTGGTCTCCCCCAGCTCCTCAGGAAAAATGTGGCTCTTTAGCTGCTAAATGTGCCAATATGTTCACCAGCTATAGCCTCTAACTGTGTCTGTTCGGTGCGGAGCAGGTCTTGGGTTTTTGCAGCTTCTGATCTGAAAACACTGAAGTTGTGGGCTGGACTGCTAAACAATGAGCTCGAACTCAGCATAAAACTCCATAAAGCCGAGGGGAGCAGCAGATTCAACTGAATTCTCTGTAGGTCACTACAAGCAACGCCCTTGGCCTTCACATTGTCATTCAGTATTACTTTCATTATAAAAATACTGATTATAGCTGCTCTGTCTGGTGCTGATGCTGCTGAAGAAAGAAGAGCAACTCAAACAAAGGCAATAGAAACTAATCTCTGAACAGAATAAAATAAAACTGTTGGTGATAGACTACTTTTACTGTACTTTATAAATTGAGTTACAAAACATCTGTTGACAGAATCAGTCGTTTTAAATGTTGATCAGTGACCATGAAGTGACTTGTGTTGATTTTGAAGTAAAACACTTGATGTTTTACTTTCCTCTCATTTTCTCAGCCAGCTCGTATTCCTTGTTTAACCCCCAGGCTTATTACCACTTGAACTACATTGCAGTTCTCCACACATACACGCTCTGAAAGCGACCTCTCATCTTGCTCTAGATGGAAGTAAAAAATCAGTTTTCTAAAAATGTGAAAACTATATACAAGTAAAAACTATTCCCTAAAGATTATTTTGTCAAATTATTACCTCCAAGATCTAGAATAAACCCTCAGGCTGAATTTCATTGTAATTAATTCTTTTTTTAAATTTTTATTTTACCTGCAAATAAAATGTCACTTGTTGAAAAGCTTAGGCTCCAATATTTGCATGAGCCTTCATTTCTGTTTATTTAGTTTTTGTTAACATGTGTAACCACTGTATGCCCGTATATTGTACCATCTTGAAAGGGTCAAGTCTAAACTTGCTGTATACATGCAGCTCTGTGATGCTGCTGTTTTGAATGTGAGTGTAGTTTCAGTCTCAGACCTGCAGCAGAAAGTCTGACCTGGCAGCACTGGAGAAACTAACCGTCTGGGCCAGTAATGTGAAAGTAATGATGATGGGACTGCTGCTACTGCCAGGAGCAGAGAGATGATGATGATGTTAACAAATGCCCTGAAGTGATAAAAACACTGATTTCTAAGATGCAGTTTTTTATGAAGTTTTCCTTATGGATGAGGCCAGGTAGCAGCACACCTGGGTGGAGTCAATAAGCAGATATAAGGGTGTTATGTGGGATATTTGAACATCCTGAGCTAAAGCTTGTGGTTCCAATAGATGGTGGAGGGAGTGAAGGAGAGTGTTTATCCTCTTCAGGCTGGGAGTGGAGTCACAGGAAGCAACTGGACTTATGGGAAATGTGGTTTATTTGCTAAAATATATCTCTGTTGTTTGTTTTAACCCTTGCATTGCAAAATGACGGGGCCTGATTGGGATCAGACCCAAACTTTTAAAATCCTGCTCCAGTCAGCTGTGTGAAATTTTTACTCACCTGTTCAATCTGAGCCTGAGGTTGCAGAGGATTCCTTCTCTGTGGAAAACATTGTACCTGGTTCATGTTCCAAAAGGGAAACATCCAACAGAATCCAAGCATTATAGACCTATAGCCCTCACCTCTCATGTTATATTATAAAGACACTCAGAAACTGGTCTTCTACATCAGGACCAAAGTGCGCACATTCATTGACCCTTTACGGTTTGCTTACCAGCCTAACATCAGTGTAGGTGTCACTCTTTTCTACATGCTCCAGAGGGTTTATACACATCTTGACATTTCTGATGCAACTGTAAGAATTATGTACAAAGACAAAACAAGATGGGAGGTGGCGTTGCACTGTATGTCCATAAAACAATAAATTTTTCAATAGTAAATAACCTGTCAATAGCACTTGATAATGTCCTGGAGTGTGTAACTATTGAACTAAAAAATGAAAGGCAAAAGAATATTATTATAAGCTGTGTCTATAAGTCACCGGGATCAAGTGTAGACTTATTCAATGAATGGATGGT